CATTATAACGCCCCCACGGCTAAAAGGGCGAGCATGTTTGGTGGAACGGGGATTCGAACACGCGACCCTCAGAAAAAATATAGGAAAATATACTTAAGTAAGAATTATACATTGTAACATTTAAGTACATAAATAACCAAAGCGAACAATGTGGAAATTGACGTATCTTTCAGTTCCAGAATACCTTCATTTGTCGTAATTAGTGGAGAAAAAATGGAATATATTATTTCCTGGTGAAACTAAATACTCGATTCACTTATAATCGTTCATTATTATTCCTCTGGAATTCTAATCAATTGAATACGTATGCAACACTTTCATCAAATATAGAACAGTAATAAATAAAGAACAAAACTATAAGTGTTTTTTAAGGTGTGCTTATACACATTAATTATTTTTTATTCTTGAGTGCAGCTTAAATCATGTTTTCAAAATAGACCTGCGTTATGGTTTTATTTCACACACTAAAAAAATAAGTATTTTACTATACAACTTTAGTGATGAAGATTCGAAACAATAGTCCTTCAGATTTCTTTTTTTTTTTTTTAGTCCAATGCTGTATTGGTTAACTTAATACATTAGTAGTTTGGTACTTACACCTGGACTGATACCACGCCCGGCTGAAGCTGAACTACGGTTTCTGGCGCGCAATTTAGCAAGAGCATTTTCAGCCATGTCTGCTCTCTCTTCAGCATCTTCCATCTCTTGCTGTACCTTCCGGAACTTGGCCAAGTTAAGGGCAGCGATTTCCTCCTAAGTATAATACAAATTAACACTTGTAACAATCCGATAATGATACATTGTTTACCTTGGTAATATTCTTGCATTACTTATAATACAAAAGTAACTATGGCGTTAAAACTGGTTACTGAAATGGACAACCGCTTGGTAACCTGGTAATAAGGCGACGTTTTTATCACAGGTAAGCCAGACAAGCTGTCCATTTCAGAAACGAACAAATTTCAAATCTTCGTTTCTAATTATACGTTTTGGGCAATGTAAGTTATGCTGAGTCAAAACGCTGCTATGCAACTTTACGTAGTATTAAAGCATTGTATTTACAGACTATTATAAAATATTTTTGAGAGCGAGAACGTCAAACAAAACGATAACATCAAAAGCAATTTATGAAATAGAAATTTCTGCGAAATGCCGATTTTATTTCGTGAATGACTGTATACAAGTCATTCGTTTGATTCTAGAATTATTATATCTTTTTTGTTGAAAATCATAAACTTACAGCCTCCTCTATCTGTCTCTTGTATGTCTTAATCTTCTGTTGAAGTTTATCCACAAGGTCCTGCATGCGCTCATGGTTCTTGTGGTCTTCTTCTGCTTGAAAATGTAATTCTTTAATACGACGTTCTCCTTTTCTTGCATTTTTAGCTGCATCGGCGTGGCGGCGCTGTTCATTTTCCAGCTCACTCTCGAGCTCGCGGACCTACATGAAGATATATAAAGAAATATTTAAAACATCTAGAAATAAACAGTAAAATTCCATTAAAAAATTGAGTTTAACGAATTTTTAACGCTCAGTACATTGTTGCCCGATGAAGGCTCCGGGAAAATGGCCGAAAACTCGCAAATAAAATTATTTTAATGAAGAGAAAAGTCCGTGTATAATTCTACATATTAATTTACCTACGTTATGAGTCTTAAACAACAATAAATATATTTTACTCCCCATTGATATTTTTTTTACAAATTGTAAATTATTTCATTGAAGCAAAATTATAATTCTCTGATGTGAACCATATTAAGGATGGAGGCTTCACGTTTATTTTTATATTGATGCCCAAGGTATTGGATTAGTAGGTGTACTGATACACATTGACTGGTTTGGTTGGTTGTTAGTACTCAATTGATTGGTTTACATGGGTATCAATACAAAAGTGACTGAATTGATTGACAAGTTATTACTCAAATTATTGATGGAATTGGTGTATTGATACTCAAGCACTGGATTACTTTTTACCTTTTGTTCAAGTTTCTGTATAATCTTTCTGCCACCCTTGATAGCCGCTGCTTCAGCTTCATCCAGTCTGACTTGGAGCTCCTTCATTTGAGCCTCCAAAACCTTGCGCATCTTTTCCTGTTGTTGAGCGTGCTCTTGCTCAGCCCTGAGTTCATCGGCTAGCCGCGCTGCGTCAACCATTGCTTTCTTGGCTTTTTCTTCGGACTGTTTAGCTTCATTCAACATTTCGTCCAAATCGGCCTAACAACAAAGACGAGAAAGGTTCCGTAACTGAGTATGATAGCACAGTTACGATGAAATGAGAATTATGTAGAGAAATAATTATTTTAAAGTTAATTAAATATTTATGCTAAATACAATAGCATATCCAGGTGGTTTCATTTGTATTGAAGTTAGTTAAAGACTGAGATCCTTCAAATGTTACAAAGAAAGATAAAAAGCGCTGCAAGAGGACTGACATCACCATAATATTTGCAATGTTAGTACATGTTCAAAACTGGATCCTATAATATATATATACAGATGTTTCTTAAAAGATCCACTCACCTGAAGAGCCTGCAACTCCCCTTCTAGTTTCCTCTTTGCCATGGATAATGAAGCATTGTTGGCAGAAAGTTCGTTCATTTGCTCGTGGGCATCAGACAGTTCTGTCTCAGCGGTGCGTCGACCACGATCAGCCTGTTGTAAGAATGTACATAAATATCTATATAAAAAACTGAGTATTAGGACTAATTACACTTCTTTATCTGAGACATAAAACGAACATAGTGACAAAAAATAAACGGGAAAAAAAGATGATGAAAAAGGACAAATGTACTTTTCCATATAAATTTTCATGGAAGTTTCGTGTTCTTTCTTTTCACATCAAAAGTCACGTAGATAGTAAATAAATAAAGTAAATGTAATAGGTTTATTTTTACTCAAAACAAAAATAGCTGTATTTCAAATATATAAAAAGTATTATAAGGGGAAATTTGTTACTGACCGAGCATAATTAAACTACTTTAAATATCTTACAGTTTATTTAACATCGTTTTTATATTTTATATTTTAGATAACGTTCTTCCTATGTAGATATTTATGCATTGTTTGACTAACAACAATGTAAATGATGGCCAGTTGCGTTTCAAATGGGTTTTCTTATGTTCATATTATTTGGTCGTTTTAGAAGTATAAATGCATTGTTGTGTTTTCAATTGTAACATTTTCAGTCCTGCTTGCAAAACACCATAAGAAAATCCGTTTGGAATATATTGTTTGTTTGTTTGTAATTAAGCACAAAGCTACACAATGAACTATCTGTGCTCTGCCCACCACAGGTATCGAAACCCGGATTCTAGCGTTGTAAGTCTGCAGACATACCGCTGTGCCACTGGGGGGCTTTGGAATGTAATTAACTAAATTATTGTTGAATATTTAGTGAGAAATCTACTGAGCTGAATAATTAAGTCATGAATACAATAAAGCAACTTTTACGGTAAGCAGGTTCTGATTTCAATATTTACAACGTTTCGACCCGTAGTTTCGCTACTATGGGTCGAAACGTTGTAACTACTAAAATCAAAACTTGCTTACTGTAAAAGTTATTGTTATTGTATTTTTGAATAAATTATTTTTTAATTTAAATATATCAGATTATTAACCATACTATATATACTACACGCAGTAAGAGTAAAGAATACATTCAGAGGAAGCAAATGTTATATTGTAATTGTTTTAGTTGGTTGTGATTAAAGTTTGATCCAGAAATATTTTTATTTTACTATGTTTAGCATTACTGAGGCAAAGCAAATACAAGAATGACCATTGGAAAACCATTTATCCACCCGTCTACAAAGTAAAAGAACTCCTTGCCTGTTCAAGAAGCTGTCTAGTCTCTTCCAGTTCCCCTTGGAGGGCATGACATCGCCTTTCGGACATAGTATACTGTTCTCGCATCTCATCTCGTGCACGTTGTTCTTCTTCTATTCCCTGTTGAAGCTCCTTGATATTCTGCTGGTATTTCTTGATGTTCTTCTGAGCCTCAGCATTTGCTTTGTTGGCATGATCCAGGGCTATCTCCAGCTCATTGATGTCACTTTCTAGTTTCTTTTTCATTCGCAAGGCCTCGGCCTTCCCTCTAGCTTCGGCCTCGAGGCTGGCTTGCATAGAGTCTATTGCTCTCTGGTGATTTTTTCTGAAAAGTTATTTTAATATAACAGTCAGGATAATTAATGACCAAGTAAATACACTCTAAATTATGAATAAAGTTCGATACAATAACAAAGTAAAACAATTGAATAAAGCGAATAATAAATCTTATGAGAAGAAAGTGGAATAAATTTTAAGTGTGGAAAGTTGCTAATAGACTGGAGATGTTTTGGATAAGAAAATAACGTTTTACGTTATTCAGTTTGTTTCCACTTTTACAATACACATTATTACATTTATACACTAGCAGAAATACGGTATATCTAGTAATTTGAGAAAAAAAAAGTTCTATTTATTTTATATATTAGTATTATAAGCACCTGGTGTTTTCAAATTCTTCTTCCTTTTCTTGAATTCTGCGATCAATTTCCTGGCGAACCTGGGAAAGTTCTAGTTGGGCCCTGAGAACCTTGTTTTCTTCCTGCTCCAGCGCAGCTTCAGCCTCCTCCAGGGCTGCCTGAAGCTCTTCTTTTTCCATTTCCAACCTCTTCCTCGCTTTTTCCAGTTCGTGCACGTTTCTACCACCCTCGCCAAGTTGATCCATAAGATCTTTGATTTCATCTATTCCAAATTAACAGTGAAAATAAAAGGCCGAACGTTATGTTTACAATCTCAGGACCAGAAGTAAAATATAGAAAGGCCACAAGAAGAGAACTGTTCTTAATTAAACAATCATAATAATTTTATTTTCGTATAGATGCATAAAAATGTCCCTGTTAAAAACAAATTATTATATATAACATAAAAATTGACACCTTATAATTTAGTATCTGCGGAATGGATAAAATACTTTACTGAAAGTCATTTTTTTATATGATTTGTTCTTTTTATTTTGCTTTTATTACAATTTTGTGAATGTACCAGATATATTTTATATGTTTACTTCACTAATTAATAAACTTTATTTACATAAGTAAATTTTAAGCGAAACACTGAAAGGATTAGTAATTTTTTTAAGTACCTTGTAAGTTCTTGTTTTCTCGTTTGACGGCTTCGCACTGTTCTTGGCTCTCGTCATAAGAAGACCGAAGTTTAAAAAGCTCAGTAGAATAGTCCCTACACTCTCGTTGAGAAGCATCTAGTTCTGCTGCCAGATCATCCACCTTTTGCTTCCATTCTGCAATAGTTTTATCAAAGGACTTCTGTTTCTTCTCTAGAGTTGCGGCAAGGTTATTGGCCTATCAAGACAAGTAATAAAACATATTTCTTCGAATCTCTCATAAAGTAAGTTAACAAGTTAAAGTGGATATTTAAAAAACGTTTTTTTTATTTTTAAATTCACATATTCTTAGAAGTACATGGCTTTACAATTTAAAATATGAATTTGTACCTCAAAATGCGATAACCATTGTTCTCAGTATTGAAATAATATATACGGATTGTTCACATGCTACGCATGTTAGATAATCACCGAACCTTCATGTAAATCCTATTTGGCTATAGATCTGTAGCTTGTCTCTACAGCAATGTCTACACCGAAACACCCTGTAGTTATTCTTTGGCTATATTTGTTTAGCCTGTATTTCCACCAGTGTTTACACCGAACCATCCGTAGTTCTTCTCTGATTATAGATCTGTTGCTTGTCTCTGCACCAGTGGCTACACCGAACTACCCTGTAGTTCTTATTTGGTTACAAATGTGTAGCCTATCTCTACGGCAGTGTTTACATGGAATCACCCTTTAATTCTTCTTTGGCTGCCTATCTGTAGCCTGTCTCTACAGCAATTTTACACCAAATCATCCTGTAGTTCTTTGTCTACAGATCTGTAGCCTGTCTCTACAGCAGTTTCTACACCGAAGCATCTTGTAGTTCTTTGTTTACAGATCTGTAGCCTGTCTCTACAGCAGTTTCTACACCGAAGCATCTTGTAGTTCTTTGTTTCCAGATCTGTAGCCTGTCTCTACAGCAGTTTCTACACCGAAGCATCCTGTAGTTCTTTGGCTACAGATCTGATGTCACTTTTTAGTTTCTTTTTCATTCGAAATGCCTCGTCCTCGAGGCTGGCTTGCATAGAGTCTATTGGTGGTCTTCCTGAAAATTTATTTTAGAGTGACATCCTGAATTCCCTCATTGGCTGATTATGTGCAGTTTGTTTTTGCATCATTGTTTATTGAAAAATAAGTGTGCATACAAATTGACCCAGTATTAACTAAGACGGTTGTTAACCGAAAGATGGTTTAGAAAAAATGCGTACAACTTTACTGTAATAACAATTCTGTAAATTAGGCGCAATAACTGTGGCTCAATTAGATTTAGAATAAATCATATTACACTCACGTATAATGACAGATTTAAGTATGATTAGTAATAGAGACAGGTCCTTGTTTTATTATATTCATTACAAAGCAAATGTAAGTAAAAGTATCAATTCAATTTTAAACTTAAATCGTTTCTGATTTAAGCTATTTTTTGTTATATCAACAACGTTTTTAATAAAAACAAACCTCTTTAATCAAAGGTAGATTCTAAATTAAGAAATCAACCATTTTTTCCAGTTTTGTTGTCTATACACTGAGTGGTCACAAGTAAATAGACACCACCTTTTCAGAAAAGATAAAAATTTTCAGTCATATTCACATGAATTGATATATTTATAATTTAATTAATAAC